TAAAGGTAGTAGGAATAACATAAAAATAAACTTACTTATACTATTTCACTGCTAACTGATAGAGTAATTGAACTTACACAATAACTAATATTGATAGAAACACTCCATTGCTAGCTTAAAACAAAACACTACCAATAGAAATCAACTACTCAATACTCATTAACTATTCACCACTACAGAACTAGCTATCTACTAATATTCATATCTGAAGCACTGCTTTTAGACACTTCACAAAGTCTCTCAATCACTCTATTTCTGAACATTCTAGAACTTAACATCATGCATCCTCTAGCTAACACCAAAATTAAAGTATTAAAAATATAGCTCACAACAATATTATATTCGAATAAATTATCTTGTAAAATAAGGAATATAACTTATTAAAAATTATTTAAAGAAAACATAGGAAATTTGAAATGATCATTGAGACAATCTCCACTGGCCTGCAAAACAAACAAGTAAACACTACAGCGAGACACACAATCTCCTGAAGCTTTTCATATCTGGTATGCAAATACCACACATCTCACTCAACTACAATATATATTTCATGATTATAAAAATGTTTTTCAAAAATTCAAATTCATAAGATACTAAATCCATTCAGTATCATGTGCTATCCACTGCTTCGTGGAAATGTGTATTGCATCCTGCTTAATCTTATACAAGCTCTGTGACTGTCACATCGACAAAGAAATTCTGGATTCTTGTTATACAATTTTCTGACTCTTCAGTTACAGAGATGGTGAGCTGTAAAACAGCTCTGACATTTTCAAGCAGTGTATGTTTTCTTATGGCAAACCCACATTGGGCTATCTGCTGTGTCCACCAAGGGGAATCAAACCCCTGATTTTAGCATTGTAAACCCAAAGACTTACTGCTGTCTCACCGGGGGCATTTTCAAGCAGATTTACTTCTGTATGTTGAAAGAGCCAGACTTGCTGGGAAGTTATCCTCATTTCACTGTTTCCATCAATACCTGTTGACTGTGTGTGATTGATCTTGTTTTCAGTAAAGGTTATTCTCACCTACTTTATATCAATTCTCTTGCTACGAAGTCAGTGGAATTGACAACCTCGTAAGCACTTTGTACTCATTATAGTTTCCATACTATAACTTTTAATATAGTAAGTGTATCTTCACAAAATTTGGCAGACTTTTAGTAAAAATTACAAGTTTTTTCATAAAAAATCTGATTTTTTATGAAGAATTTTTACTGAAGAGTTATCCATGAATACATACTTTTTTTTACTATTCTGAGTGAAAAGTAATTTCCTGGATTAAAAATACTTTTCTTAATCTTAAAAATCTAAACTTTCATTTGTGTAATCTCTAAAACCTCCTAAATAAATTTCAAAGGTTTTTCTAATTTTTTGATATTTTAACTATTTTCTCTACCCTAACTCTATAGAAGGATGGTCAAATTGACTGACCTCATAGACACATAAAAAACCCCACTAAATTAACCTTTTTTCTCTCTTTCTAGAATGACTTCAGTTTGTAACATGAAACTACATTTATTTATCCCAAATAGTTTTAAACTCACAACAGTAAACATCCACTTATACTTAAATTTTATTGTTTTATTGCCCTCTGAACTATGTATAACCACTATTCATGCCATTATAAGTTTTAAATCACTTGGCAAATATGCAGCTCACATTACGCCATTGGATTATATAACAAAATAGCTACTCACGAGCACACCTTGTGAACCTTTTTTAATATTATTTATTTTACTTAATCTAACCTTAACTAATATAAAAATTTTCCTATTTTTATAATAAGAAATAGAGAGCACACAAGGAAAATAACAAACAAAGTACTTACTTGGGCTTTCTTTTTTTTGCTGTCAACTGTTGATGATAATACACTTTTTTATACTAATAGTAGTACTGCACTAAATAATTTTTTATTTAATCAAATAACGTACAAAAAACATAGAATAATAACATGCAAAAAGCAGACAATGTTCCATAATTATCACAATTTTTCTAGTTTTCAAACTATGCAACAAGAGCCGTTAAAAATTCATCTAAGCTCATCGATGCATTTCCTTTTCAAATAAAGCTTGAGCTGAATGCAAAATTGACAATTTTCTGTACAGAAAACAATGTAATATAATTCATCATTTGACATAGTAAAACCATGGCTCTATTGGTTATAAATGAAATATTGAATATCAGAGTGAACTCTGGCAACTTGTGAAAGAAAGGAGGTGACATGTGGTCATAGCAAGAGGGGTCAGATTTTATATTTGATAGCTCTGGAACCAAATAAGATTGAAGGCTATGAAAATTATGCTTCGCCTGAGCAATAACAACATTATAATGAGTAATTTACGATAAATTTCATATTTTTTGGAGTGGTGGTAAATAAATTAGAGAAAATATGTAGAGAGAAAATGTCAATTCTCACACTAGGGGAAATTCAGGATTTTTTCAATATTGCCTCATTAAATTAAGAACTTATAACTTATATACTATTAAAATATGGATTATTAGCTAAGTTTTTATGCTATCCTTGTTGGTATACCATAAAAAGAAAGTAGTTCAATTAAATTTTTAATGTAACTCACTAAAAACCTTGCAACATGCACAGAAAAAGATGCCTGTTGAGAAATGGTTAAATAGTTTTCTTTTACTCTTTTCACTTAACTCTCTCAACACGAGCTCAGTCAATTTTACCAACCACATGACCCCTTTGTACTCATTTAAAGTCTTTATAGATTTGACACTACTAACTTTTAATATAATGTGTATTTTCACAAAATTTGTCAATATTTCAGTAAACATTATAAGTCTTTCACATACAAAAAGTCATATCTTTTTTAGTGGAGTATTTTAAATAAACTAAAAAAAGATTTGTCCATGAATATATCGAGTATTTGTTTAGAATAGTCTGTATACAAAGTGATTTTCATGTTAAGAATAAAAATATTTTTCATCATCTTAAAAATCTCAAATTTCATTTGTGTAATCTCTAAAACCCATTAAGTAGATTTAAAATGTTTGTTTTCAGTAAAACTTTATATTTTATCTGTTATTTTCTCTACCCTATTCTATGGGGTCTGTCAGTTTGACCATCCTTGTAACAGACATAAAAAATTAAGAAATAATTTAAAATTATGCATTCTTTGTTCTAGAATGACTACAGATTGTAACACGAAAAAATATGTTTAGTATAAATAGATTAAATCTCATATATTTTATACATTTAGATATATTTATTATTTTTATTATATTCACCTTTCAGCCATGCCTGGCTAACAATACAGAAGCTACTATGATGTAGCGCATGAGCACTCATGTTACCGTATCCAATAATTAAAACTCACCTTTATTGACCTGTCTTGGCTGTGTTTTAGTAGAATAGTATTTTGTATAATACAATCAAATTTTAATTATTATACATTATACATGTATATAGATTATTGCTATTTTGAAATAAGTTCTCAAACTTATTTTTCTTAAAACATAGAACAGTAACTAAAGAAGTAAAGCAAACAATTATCTCTTCCAGTTATTACCTTCGTACTCGGTATTCTTTAAAAAAATTGCACGGGGAGGATAAGAAACAAAATATTTTTTTTAGGCTTTATATATACACTTGAATAACTAAAAAATCATAAATTACTACATTAATACCACAGAATTCCACTATAATTTATAAAGCTCAGTAACCAAGATATATTTTAGTCTAAAAAAATATGAAATTGTGAGCAGACTAAAGACACACCCTACCCCATTGAAATATTGGTTCAAAAATAAAGAAATGGCACCAAGTCCATTAAAATGGCTAAGAAAGCCACTAGGGGGACATTCTGAGTTTTTGATTGGTCATATATAAAAGTAAGTGTATAAAATGAAATGTTTCCAAAAATGGAGAGGTAGGCATTTAGAAAAGATAAGAGGTTCTTATTTTATATTCAAACTTGTCAATATCGGTAATTTGAGTTTCTATTTCGTATGAAACTGTTGACTTTGTATTTTGACATCACAAAAATCAATGTTTTTTTTAATATTTACTTTTAAATTAAGAAATTAACTAACATATAATACTAAAATTTGAATAATAATCAACAATTTGATACCAAACTTATTGACATAAATTCATAATATAGTAGTTCAACAAAATATTGAATGCAAGTCAATAAACACGATGAAATGATTTTTGACACGTGACCCGTCGCGATAGGATTAAATAAATTGTTGTTTTTTTCTAGTTGTTTTACATTTCAGTTCTACCATAATACTATAGTTCTTTACCCCTTGATAATCAGCCAGACCATATCTTATTTATCTGTTCTCTTTATCATTAGTGTTTGTTTTTAACCACCCTCAAACTATGTCTTATGTTTCTCATTCCTCTTACAGCAAATCACTACATCTTCCTTCTGTTCTCAAATCTCCAGTTATTTCAAGGATTAACCAACTGTGTGCTTGGTTTATTCTTGGAATAATATACCCACACAAAAAACACATATACTCAATAGTTTTTAATGGAAATAAATTCTCAACTTGTATTTACTAAAAATGTTTCATTCAAACATGATAAAAGCATTACAAAATGAATTAAATAAATTCTTTCAACAGTTTGCATCCTGAAGTTTTACTTAAAGTAAACCTATTATAAAAAAAAATTAAATGTATATGTAACAATTATTCTCTTTTCTGACTGATGCAGACATTTTTTTGCAAAACATGGTTTAGTTATACGAAGAAAAGTGTCCATATTTGAAATTCACTCTTAAAAACTATTTAATTCTAAGCCAATTAAATTTTACATTTGACCAATTCTTTTACTTAGGTCATCACAAAATATTGAAGATAATTCATCCATATGTTGAAGTAATACACAAGTTATATAACAATGATTTTAACAATTTCTATAATACATAACAAACTGAATAAAGGAAGACATCTTGATTAAAACTTTATAGCATCTTGGAAACAAACTTATTAAAAACACTAATTCATTTTCATAATATAATGTCTCACCAGTCAGTAAACATGTTACGTCTCCCATTTGGGGTAGTATCGAGTTCTTCGTCAAATTGAAACTCCAATTCTTCCCTATCTTCAATAACTTTATGAACCTCCTCTTTTTTCTCCTGTAATAATGAAACAGTTCCTTACTAGAACACAAGCACTTAAATTTTAACAATGTTGACAATGTAGGATAATCAGTATTAATAAAAGTATTATTTGACCAAACAAAAATCATGTTTTATTTAACACTACTATATTCAAAACGAACAAATACTTTATAACCCTCATTTTGTGATTACATCCAAACTTCCCCTAAAAACAAGTCTTAACAATGATCTTCCTAACTATTACAGTATATAATTTTATTGCTTTATAAGGGTCTGTAGCTCATGTATGAAATCAAAATACAACAGCTATATTGCGAGAACAAGGAA